CACAAAGTGGAGTCACTTTGGTTCAGGCCTGCATAAATTTGCTAACCTACTCTTTATGCTTCTGTACAAAATGCTTTGCCAGTTTCTTGCTTTTTGGGCCAGATCACAAGAAGTTGCATGCCCTGGCAGTAACTGTCAGTTCCAGATATCAATACTGTATTATTTATTCACCTGCTGTCCCTATTGTTCCTATAACTGCCTCCTGTGGCTACCTAAGCCCACCCAATTGTCCCCATGGCAGCCTCCTGTGGCTGCCAACTCACCTGGTTCCTAAAGAGTATAACTCACTCTTTCTATAAAAACCCATCTAACCTTCACCCTGGGGGTCACTCTCTGAAGCAAAGGAGAGCTGACCCCAGCTGGTTGGCTTCTTTACCTGCCTCCTCAATAAATTTTGCTGCCTAGCAGAGTTGTCTGGGCTGCACTTCTTGGCCAGAGGCTCAGGAAGGATGCAATGTGTGTGTGTGTGTGTGTGTGTGTGTGTGTGTGTATGTGTGTGTGTGTGTGTGAGAGAGAGAGAGAGAGATCCACAAAGGTTGGCTCACTTGATTATGGCAGCTGAGTCCCAGGACAGATTGTGTGTAAGCTGGATACCCTGCAAGACTAGTCACAGAACTCAGTCCAAAATTAAGGGCCTCAGAGCCAGGGAAGCTGAAAGCAAGGGAAATGCTTCTGTACGGCCCAGAGTTCAAAGATCAGCATCTGATTTCTTAGGAGGGAGTAAAGTATGTCCCAACTCTCAGAGAGACCAATTCATCTTCTGTGTTTATTCTCCCACCAGTTGATAGTGTCCTTCCACTTTGAGGCCAACTCTTTCCACCTGGTCCACTCACTCAGACTCCAATGCTAATCTTGTTTGGAAACACCCACACTACCACAATTGAAGTAACACTTTTTGTAGGTTTATAGGTGTTTTTAAGGTGACACCTAAAATTAAACACTACCGTTACAGTAATCAAAATGATGTGGTGCTGTCATAAAACAAATGCATGGACAAGTGAAACAGAGTAGAAAGCCTAGAAATAAACTGATAAATCTAAACTCGCCCACAAAATTTTCCACTCCCACCTGTCTCCTTATAACAACTTGTAGGAGAAAAATAATTGTTCTGGGTATTAGAACTGGCTTACATGCTTTTATCTTTTTCAAAAAAAAAGATTCATTGTGTTCCATGTATTGTGAAGACAGGATTACAAAAAGGAACATACAGAAAGAAAGAAAGGGATATAGCTTCTATCTGTTGGTTCACTTCCCAAATGTCTGCAGCAGCCAGGGCTGGGTCAGGCCAACACCAGGAGCCAGGGGTTTCTTCTGCGTCTCTCACATGCAAGGATCCAAGCATTTGGACTGTCTTCAGCTCCTTTCATGGGCACATTAGCACGGAGCTGGATTGAAAGTGGAGCAGCCAGGTTTCAAACAAGCATCCTAGTATCACACACAACAGTTTAATATACTATGCCACATTGTGACTCCTCAGATGCTTTTTGAAGTTTTTGTGAAAGTAGCCCCAAATTCTGGAGGATTTCTTTGGGGGAGGGTGTATGCACAGTGTCTCTCTGTCCTCACCTATGACTCCCAACAGTCAATAATACTAGGGACACAAATCAAATGTAACTCAATATTTCATTTTTGATTACAGTTGCATGTTTTTATATGGCAGTCTTTTTTTTTTTTTGAAACCAAGAGGTATTCTGAAATGCCCAGAAGATCAATTGAAGATGTCTTTATCTAGTAGAACTGCTGGAGGATGAAGTGAAACAATGCAAAACAGAAATATAATCATGTCTGCTGTTTGGAATAATCATTGTTTTGTAATGCAACAACAATAAGGCAAAAAGATAACAAAATTATGTTTTAGTAGTCCAGGGAGTTGATGGCTGCCTGCATTGGATATCAGTGGAACCTGAGTGCAAACTTAGATTTGTAAAATCCTTAAGATCCGTAGGAGGTAATCATTGGAGCCTGGTCATTTATTGGAGCACAGGGAACTTGTCAGTCATGTAGTAAACACACTGCCATTTAGTTAGAACAACTCTGTGATATATTTGCAACCATTATTTACATTTCATAGACAAGGCACAGAGAAGATTTAGTATCCAAACTTTACATCCAAGGTCATACCACAGAGAGTATATTAAAATCAAGTGAGGGTCTGTCCAGTGCCATGCTTCTCACTAAGATGCTAAGTCTTTTGACATTTGGATTCTTCCAGTCATTTGATATTTGTAAGTACAATACGTGTATGAAACACTGTTCACAAAAAAATTTAGAAATTCTCCACCCTCCACCTACCAAACAACTCTTTTGCATCTACCACAATTAGTCATTCCTTAGGAACTATAATAACAATGTCAACTTTTTATAAAGACTTCTTTTGAAACATGCAATTTTACCCTGATAATTTGCATAAAACTGATTAGTGAATACATTCATGATGAATCAAAATTTTCATAAAAACATTTTTTAAAGATTTATGTTTTTTTATTGGAAAGACAGATATACAGAGAGGAGGAGAGACAGTGAGGAAAATCTTCTGTCTGATGATTCACTCCTCAAGTGACCACAAGGTCACTCCTCAAGTGACCACCATCAGCTGTGCTGATCCAAAGCCAGGAGCCAGGAGCTTCCTCCAGGTCTCCCATGCGGGTGCAAGGTCCCAAGGCTTTGAGCCATTCTTGACTGCTCTCCCAGGCCATAAACAGAGAGCTGGATGTGAAGCGGAGCTGCTGAGATTAGAACTGGTGCCCATATGGGATCCCGGCGGGTTCAAGACAAGGACTCTAGCCACTAGGCTACCGTGCTGGGCCCTCATAAAAGCAGTTTTAGAAACTAGTTTTTCTGCATATTTTTAAGGTAACAAATCCATTTTAGATGATTCCCCAATTCCTTGCCATCAAAAAGCTTGGCATGATGGGTGACTAAATTTACCATTTTCCATTGGTGCTATAAGTAACTCCTAATTCCACAGTATGGCTTCATGTGGTGTAGCAAAACGTAAATAGAATGCAGATATGTGGAAGAAATGAAAACCTACATGATTCCGAGTGAGGGTGCTGAGAAAAGCTGGAATATTTGGGACAGTGTGTTGAAGGGAATGAAAGAATATGGGCATGATGCAAACTTGGAGGGAAGGAGCATGATACTGAGAGCAAACTAAAAAAACAATGTGCGACTGACTTTTTGAGACTTGAAATTCAAGAGCAAGGGACTGTAGGAGTGCAGCTTCAGGGTGTTCCTAATGAAAGAATCTCACATGCGTGAGAGCCCCTCCAAGGGGTAGGCTCCAGCTGTCCTGTACATTTTAAACTTCCAAGAATGTATCTGCCTGAAGGGACTAAATATACATTATGACTTCAGCAGTGGAAACAGGTGGCTGGGTCTTTTTATCCTCCCATCTTGAATGGTTTTTCCAAATGTACACATTTTAATCGTATTTTTCATTTTTAAAGGTATAGTTAATTTATGGAAAATTAGAGAAGGAAGGAAATTATCAACACAAAAGTGAAAAGCACAAGCCAAACAATTGCATTCTTTCCTAACTCACCCTAATCTCTCCAATTTGGTTTCAAGGAATGGCGGCTGTCAGTGGTTGAGGGAAGGTCTGCTGAAGGAAAGCTCTCTATTTTTCCGGTCTTACAGCCCAGGGGGGAAAAAAAAAGGCTAGCAACCCTTTTCTACATAACTATGAAAAAAATTAATAAGAGACACTGTAAGTGTGGAAAGATGTCGCCCCTCCCTGGTAATCAGAGAAAGGCAAATACTGCCAGGGAGAAGGGGCCACTTTTGACCTCTGGAATTAGCAATGACAAACATGAGTGACAGGGCCTGGTGTTGCTGGGGGGTTGGAGGTGGGGAAGTCTGTCCACTTCTGAGGCCCCGGCTGGTAGGAGGGAGAAGTAAGGACCAGAGTTGGAGGATGACATCATCCTCACGTGACCAAGAGCTGAGGTGAACCCAAGTCCTTATATTCCAGGCTGTTTCTTCCCTCGGTATCAGCTCCTCAGCACCCTGCAGACCGGCTTGCTTGTGCCAAGGGAAGTAAGGTAAATTTCTGAGGGAGCTGCGGGGAGCCCTGGGACAGTAATGACTGAGCTCAGTGACTGCTCCCTCAAAATTCATGGAAGAGACTTAAAATGTTGGAGGGGGAAATTTAGAGGATCAGTGGAAATCTACTGAGGGCTACCCAGAGATGTGGTGATCGTTCAGAAATAATCAGTTTCTCTCACCTGGCAAGCTTTCTCTGGACTCTTCTTCCTCTCTTCCTTCAGTTCTTTGAAGACAGTGCTAGGCCTGGGGTGTGAGCTAGAGGGTGGCGAAAGCTGAAATCCTGAAATGGGCACCAGAGAAATGTAGAGACAATTTGAAAAGAGTTCGCCTCAGTGCCTCCGGGTTTGGGTGGTGTGGGGGCAGCATCTAGAACCGGCCTGAGCCTGGAACGTGGGGGCAGAAATCGTGGAGGAAGGAAACCAGGAAGCAGGAAATGTGTGGTGAAGACAGATTTTTTTTTTTTTCTTTTTTCATGAGATTATGTTGTCTTCTTGTCTCTGGAACCACTTGATGGGTAGAACACTCTCTCCTCCATATTTTGTTTCTCTCTACTTGCAGGTCCAACAGCCTGTATTCTCAAGGTGAGAACATCAGCAAACTACCTCCCTTCACTGCAGGTCAGCATGAGGGAGGCACTTAGACGGAGATTTCTAAGGTTGGGAATTGGCAAGGGAGAAGGGTGGGTACAATGTGTGGCTCTGCTGTCCACCTCCGCGCCTGCTCCTGGTCTCCAGCCAGCTGGAGAGGCTGAAGGAAATGGTAGGTTGGGTGCGTGCGCGAGGTGGGGGGCGGTGGAGCAGATGTGGAATGAGTCGGAGGAGTTACAGGAAACAGCTGGACGTTCAGTTTCGGAGAGCTTGACCCAAGGAGAAACTGACAACCCGGATTTCCAAGTAACTAACCTGTCTCTCTCTACCTTTCTCCCTGGATGGACTAAAACAGGAAAGGGCATCATGGAAAAGCCTTCCAAAGAAAATGAAGGGCAACCCAAGGGCAGCGTGCCACAGACAGAGGAAGAACGCCCCTACGGAGCATGTGAACAGCAGCGAATAGAAGGGAATTTTAGACAGAGACTGCTTCAGTCTCTCGAAGATTTTAAGGAGGATGTAGATTACAGGCATTTGAAGCACGAAGAAGTGACAAGAGAAGTAGATGAGATGGAGAGGTGCCTGGAAGAGATAAGAAGTCTGAGAAAGAAATTCAGGGCTCTGCATTTTAACGATAGGCATTCACGGGACCGTCCTTATCCCATTTAATGCATTTTCCCCTGAATTCAGTCACTTTCTGTTATTAACATTGCCACTGCTTTCTTTTGACCTGCATTTCTTTTTGGTAGACACCTGATATAATTTTACTCTGATCTTGCGATGTTGTTTAGATTTCCATATGACTTGTCAACATCTTGTCTTTGGACCCCGGCTCTATTCATTTAAGCAGTAGTCGCATTTATTTGCATGGAGAGATGCTCATTGTGTATTGTAAAGTGAGAATAACATATTTCATATATACATATAGTGTGTGTATATATGCCATATATGTATATTTATATGACACATTGCAAAACAAAAGTCAGGATTATTATACACCAGTGAATCTGTGTAATTGGTATTTTATTTCTTTTTTGCTTATCTGCATCTTCTCAATTTCAAAAAAAGATAAATATTTGTATGTATATATTACCTGTGTCCAAAAAAAAAAAAAAAGCTAAAATAGAGCCAACAAAAGAATTTGTCAGTCACTTTTTGGAAGGCAGTGAAACAATAAACTCTTAATAACAGAAAAATAAGAAAGAAATGTACATTTCAAATTGTCTCTGGATCTCTTAGAGGAATAAACTGATAATTATTATAAGATAAGCATGTTTACGACTCAATCTTTTTTCATGGGGAAGATATGTGACTCAGAGGGCTGCTATGGGGAAGAAAACAAACAGTTAACTTTGAGCTATTTTCATGGCATCTTATCCCCGCCTTGCATATGGAAACCCAAGCTGCTTTGGTGAGACTCACTCCATGCTCAGGAACAAGAGGTGGGGACTTCCGTGCCAATTCTCAGCTGCTGAGCCCTTCCCTGTCTCCTCTCCAGGACCCTGCTCTACCTGAAGGGCACTGCTTCTGTTTCTGTTGGGTCCTTTGCCTCCATGGCTCCTGGCCCTCCACCACCTCCGTTGAGGTCTCCAGTGCCAAGACCACACCTACTAAACGGTTGAACCCCACTCTGTTTAAAAGTCCTTCTCTTCCATATGGTGACACTATAGGTGGGACCACCCTAAGATGGCTTGGTCACATGTCTGGTGCAGTCTTTAGCAGAATAGCCCCTTCTGTTTGCAGTCACAAGACCCTCTGTCCCCAGAGAAGTCAGAGATGGTGTGTGGGAGCTGGACTGGGGCACACATAGGAGTGAAAGCCATCACAGTCTAAGAGTTGCTGCCCTAAGTCTAGGGAGTGAGGGTTTGTCCTCTTGTGAGATGTTACTAGCCTTTCTAGTTCAGAAGCCTTTCAGGGGATGACAAAATTGAGAAAAGGAACACAGGAACAGATGTAAGGGAATAGTCTCCTGTTATTCATCTGCTCCCTTCCTGTAACATACATAAAAACGTAAGACTAAATTATATGTTTTATATATATATATAAAGATTAAATTGTGTATATGTATGATTGTATATGTAAATCTATACACACATATATATTTTATATTTTCCCACATATATGCTCTATAAGCACATATATATACTGATGTATATAAATTAAAACTAATGTATGTGCATGCACACACATATGTATATATATAAATATATCAAACATTATTCCATAACTGAACATTTTACATTTTGCATTTCAAAGTAAAGACTGCTATAGTGTCTCATTGTATTTTATTATTATAATGAAATTCACTTACAGTAAATAGTTAATAAATGTTTACTTCAAATTCTAGTGCCTAGATGTACTTCAGATAACTTAAAATTGGCAATAACTCTAGAAATTTCAAATTACATTACAAAGGACACCTACAAGAAAGGGATTATCTCCTAAATTCCATCTATAAAAGTATTATAATACTGTATAACTGATGTCTCTCAAAACTAATTTCCTCAGTCAGAGTTGTGGCACATCATATTAAGCCGCTAGAGTACTGGCTCAAGTCCCAGTTACTCCACCTTCAGTCCAGCTCCGTGTTAATGGACTTGGGAAAGCAATGAAAGATGATCAAGTTCTTGGGCCCCTGCACTCACATGAGGTCTCCTGGATTCAGTCTGCAGTCTGTCCCAGTCCCAGCCACTGAAGCCACTTGAGAAGATAAATAGAGAATGGAAAAATTCTCTCTGTCTCTGTAACTCTGCTTCTCAAACCAATAAAATGTTTCTTCAAAAAAAGTCATTCTGGGGCCAGCATTCTAATGTAGCAGGTAAAGTCTGTGATACTGATGATCCCATGTCAACATGGATTGGTGTCCTGGCTGCTCCATTTCCAAACCAGTTCCACGCTAGTGGCCTAAGAAAAGTAACAGAAGATGGCCTGACTTCTTGGGTCCTTAATCCCACATGAGAGATCTGGGTTGGGCTTCTTACTTCTAGCTCTGGCCCAGTTGACACCTGGCTGCTGCAGTCACTTGGTAAGTTAACTAACAGATGGATGACCCGTGTGTTTGTGTGTGTGTGTTTCTCTCACTGTAACTTTTTCAAATAAATAAATGAAAAATAAATCTTTGTTTTTAAAGTCATCTAATCTGGAACACTTAATAGAAACACAAGATTCTGACACCCATCTCATACACACAATACACTCTTACAAACACATTGAGCTGGAATCATTGGGTATTTCATCCTGTAATTTCTGTATTTATGTTCTGTTGAACCCCTAGCCTGCACTCCTGCCTCAAACTCTCACCATAGACTCTGCTTCTGTTGAATTGTACAGATAGCTTCCTTATAATCAAAGAGTATATTAATCTGTAATTTGTAATTTTAGAGTCACCTAAAAGTAAAAATCATGGTTATAATAGGCTAGAAATTCTGAAAATTATATAAATAGGGCAGTCATCCAACACATCTATACAGAGATTAAAATTACTCAGCCTTACTAAGAGGCAAAAAGATAAATAAAAAAACTGTTCCTTGCCAATTCAGACTTTGGAACACAACAATTGATGGCTAAAGTAGTTGCAATCCTGCTTCACCCTGGGCAGCACCAACTATTGTGGACATTTGATTAATGAACCAGTAGAAGAAAAGTGCCTCCCTTTCTCTTTGTCTCTCCAATAATTAAATATGAAAGTTCTAAAAAGAAATATAATTGAAGAAGATGTTGTAGTCCATAGGGTTAAACGGCTGCTTGAAATGCTGGCATCCCATATCAAAATGCCAGATAGAGTGTCAGGTACTCTTCCTCCAGTCCTGTTGGAAATTCACAAATGGCAACCCAAACACTCTAGTTTTCGTTATCCACATGGTAGATGTAGATGAAGTTTTTGGCTTCTGGTTTCATTCAGTCTCATTCAGCCCCTGCCATTGTACACGTTTGAGAAATGAACCAATGAATACAAGATCCTGATCTCTCTCTCTTCCTCACCCATCCACTCTCCACTTCAGATAAATAAATCTTTAAGAAAAGACATGTTGATTTTTGTTTCTTCTACTATAAAATAAAACCTCAGCCTTACTGTATGTAATACAAATGGTCACTACTTGCTCAGATTTACATTAATAAGTGAGCACAGGGGCAAGTACCATGGTACAGTGGGTTAAGCTGCCACCTGCAATGCCAGCATCTTATAGGAGAGCACTCGTTCAAGTCCCAACTGCCCCATTTCCAACACAGCTCTCCACTAAAGCATCTGGGGAAACAATAGAAGATAGTTCAAGCTCTTGGACCCCTGCAAGGATCATTGCAGCCATTTGAGTGGTGAAATTACTGGATGGAAGATCTGTTTTTCTCTTTTCCTCTCTGTCACTCTGGTTTTCAAGTACATAAAATAAATCTTTTCTTCTTTAAAGTGAGCACAAATAATGTAAAGCAATCAATAGTGAGTGTCTAAGGAAGAACAAAACTAATATTTCAATCACAGGTTCAATATAAAAAAAAGTAAAATAAAAATAACAGATTTTTAGACTCATCAACTCCATAGCTTTTGTTTCTTTTTTTTCATATTTGTTTACTTATTTGAAAGCGTTACAATAAGATAATGGGGGAAGAGGAGAGAAAGAGAGGCACACAGACACAGAAGTGTTGTCCTCTCTGCTGGTTCATTTCCCAGATGGCTGTAATGGCCAAGGATGAGCCAGGCTGAAGCCAGGAGTCAGAAATTTCTTTCAGGTCTCCCACGTGAGTGGCAGGAGTCCAAGCACTTAGGCCAACTTCTGTTGCTTTATCCCAAGCACATCAGCAATGAGCCAGATCAGAAGTGGAGCAGCTATGACTCAACCCAGTAACCATACAAGATGCCAGGGGTCAATGGTTTACCCACTACTCCCCAGTGCTGGCCTCCTATACAGATTTCTTTAATTGAAAAAAAAAAAAACTTAGATAGATACATAGATAGTTTTGGATATATAACAGAAAGCTATCCATTTGAGCCTTTTTTTCAGGTGTAATAACCAACAGCATTAATGACATCCACAATGCTGTGAAATCATCACCATTATCTATTTGCAAAAATTTCTCAACAATGCAAACAGAAACTATACCTATAAGCATTATGTCCCCTTTGCTCCATCTCTCATTAAGGTAATGACTTTCAAAGAAGGACATTATTCTGTATTGTTATATTACAATGAGAATTGTGAAGATGAATGTGGGAAAGTCAGAGAAGAAGATGTGGCCACAGATGCAGAAGTAAGAGTGACGTACAGACTTGAGACAAGCAGTGCTATCAGCCTCTAGAAGCTAGGAAAGTCAAGAAATTGGATTCTTCCCTAGAGCTTTGAGAAGCAGCATGGCCTTGCTGACATTGTGATTTTACCTCATTGAGACCAATTTTGGAATTTCAGTTTACAGAACCATAAGCTTAATAAATTAGTGTGATTTTTTTAAAGACATAAATTCGTAAAGGTCTCCATGATCCAACAATAACCACAAAGGATTGTCATACCGTGTCGTCACTGAGGCTGCATTAATCTTGCGGGTGAACCTTCTTACCCTATTTTACAGATGGGAAGCTGAGCTCAGCAACCTTGCCATGCCCTGAATTTACCTGGAAAGTCACTCCAGGATACCCTGAGGCTGGACATCCTACTTCTTAGTGCAGTTAGGGCCCCACC